CCCCAAAACCCCAAAACCCCAAAACCCCTATCTAAAATTCCAATTGAAACCACCCTTCACTAAAATCGGCCAAATGTTGTACTTAGAGAGGTTTTGACCGGACCTTCGAGTTCTTTTGGGTTTTTGTACGTGGAGCAGGGTCCATTGGGCTGATGCTCTGGCTGAGGTTGGAGGAATTGGGGTTGAGGGATGAGGAAGGGGATGGGTTTTGGGCAGGGGTTGAGGGAGGTTTGGGAGTGGTGGGTTGTCGGTGAGGGGATTTATGCCTGAGGATGTAGGTGAGTAGGGATTTGAGGAGGAATATTAGGCAGACTAGGGTTCAGATACTGGGGGAGGTTATTAGGATGGTGGTGTAAAAGTCTTCGTAGAAAGGATTCCAGGATTCTTTTGTATTGAGCCAAGGTAATGGAACAGCCAAGCAACAGAATAGAGTCTGATTAGTGACTTCAATGATATTGTCTTGTAGATTCTCAAATGGCCTGATAATAATCAAATAGATTCAGTACAAAATGTTTAAAAGGTAAAAGAATGTGGCTTTGTCAAATGTCCTAGCAGGTTGTCCAAATATTATTCATGAAGTAAGCAATAGTCTCATCAGCATAAACATGCTAGAATAGAGTTTGGAGTATTTATTTTGGCTTGATTCCATTAAAATATTCTACTCATAGCCAATACTTTTCCTGATCTATCTGGGGGAATGACTTGCAATACATATAGAAAGACAGAATAAACAACACACTTGTGCATATCCCAAACATTATTCCAAACCCAAAGGATATTTTGGTCACAGTTGTAGATAGATTGGCGTTATATAATTCAGAGAAGATAGACAACGTTGTAAATACAAATGCCTGCATAAATACTCTGATGTATATATTAAATGTGAAGAACTTGAACAGATTATTAAAAAATTTCTTTCATTTCCTATGCTTTGGGTTCTCTATTTTTAAATCTCAAAGAAATATACCCAAATGAATGAGACCAATAAGAATGATAATAGCCATCAGTGACAAATAGTTAACAACTGAGCTTCCAGATCTCATTCCAATACTATTCAAGTAGCCATCTGACTGGGGATATGATACCCATTCAGTAATCGCTTCAACAAATGGAATATCTTTGAACTTAATAAAATCAAATGATATCATCGTGAAGCTCATTTTGCTCAAAAAGTTTAACACTTTAGGAGAAAAATAGTCAGGAATTAGAGGTAATAGAACTGCCAGTTGCATACTATTCATAATGCTAAATATTGAGTTGGGTGATGATAATGACAAGATAGATGAAGCGCTTGCAAGTATAATGCTTCCTGCCAATAAAGCAGTCACCACCCTAGTTGATGTAGTTGAACCAGAAGAACCAGGTACTTCTGAACAATTCTTTTGGTTATCTGAGATTTGATATCCATCAGCTCAAGTCTCTCAAACACTTGAGTTATTCAATTTTCAGACATCACAGTGTTCAATAGATCATTTTTCAACAGAGATCTCAAACTTCTTGTAATAAACGTCAGTATTAAAGGAGATCTGAAGGGAGAAATAGAAAGTCTGTTCTTCAGATAGCTTTGGAGTGGTGTTAAGGTACAACTCCTGTTTATCTCCATCAAGCTGAATCCATTCAGGAATGGCATTGGACCCAGTCTGGTCCAGACTGAAAGTAATAGCAGTGTAATTTCCTTGTTGAGCTCAGGCCCAGGTGAAGTTCACTTGTACTAACTTGTTGCTCTGAACTGATTCAGTATGGTCTTCGTTCCACAAAGCCACGTATGTGGTGAACGTAGGACTTGTTGTTGATGTAACATTGATGGTTGTAATTGATGAAGAGGTTGAGATTGAGAGAGTTTGTGAGCCTGAGTTGAGACTGGGGTTTGCTGAAGTTGAAGATACCTGATAGTTTGAGGTAATTACACTAAAGAGAGACGTGTCCTCTTGAAACTCCTGAAGCATTTCAATATTATTTGTGGGTGATTTAGCAACAAAGGATGTATCATTTCCATCAAATCTTCCAGAATGATACATTAGTTCTAACCCTTTGTAGGAAAATGACCTTCTAACTGAACTAGATCTAGAGTTTATAGACTTGTACTCTTTCAAAATAGTGGTGTCTGAGAAGTTTACCAAAATTAGCCTTTGATAATTAGTCAATGTAGCACTATTAATCTGAATAGCAATAAAATTGCTGAACTCTGACATAGAGTAGCTTTCATGATACCCACTATCATTCCAAATCAACCCTGAATTTTTAGGAGTCCCATCAGCCACGCTTAGTTGGTGGAAAACAAAATTATTATCATAGAGCACCATTGTATAAATCCATTTTTCATCTCCACTCAAAAGGGAGTTACTGAATTTTACAACTCATGTAGGAGTAGGGCAGGTGATGCTCTTCTTCCAAGCTAGATTAGATGCAGAGAAGTTATAGTTTACCAAATAGTATTGATCACCTGTTGTATCAATTGAACCAAAAAACAACAGCTCGCTACTGATTGAAGCAAAGTTAGTCGGACTGTCAACTCCAAAATTAAATCAGTCAAGATTGGTATTTATCTGTTCCCATCTGCAAATTTCCATAACTGAGCCAAACAGAAGACTGAAGTAGAAGCCTTTACTCATTTCCATGTTTGAATTTGAAGTAACATAGCCCGTACCACTGCTAGGTAACTGCCAACTCTCTTGTGATATGCAAGTCAGAAGTCTGTACTTCAATGATCTTGGAGGGTGAAAAATCAAGGATATAGATAAAGTCTTTGTTTGGAGATATGGCAAAGGAGCGAGTTTGGCTATTGATATCATAAGTCATAACTCCCAGTTTGGCTAGTTCTGGGCTGGCCTTGTAGATCATAGTGTCAAATGGAGAAGCTGGACGGAACTGCCCCACAAAGTAGAGTAACTCGTTGTTAGCGTCTTCAAAAATATTTAAAAAATTGATATTGCTACTCCCAGGAACTCCAAAACTTGCAGAAAGGGGTGATCCTGCCTTTTGAGCATCATTCTGGCATAAATTTGTTGCAAAAACCATTAGGGGTAACAGAACAATGAAGCACGTTTTCATCTTCATGAGGTTTATTATAAAATTCTTTATTATTTCCATATCGTGAATCTTAAAAGGGGTTTTGGGGTTTTGGGGTTTTGGGG